GGATAGACACTATGGTACATGCAAAAAGAAATAAACAGCCCTGTTTCAGACTGAAATAATCATTTATAACGCGAGGAACAGAAAGATCTTCTAACATATTCACAGGTTATTTTAATATGTTCCAAATAAATGCTAAGGAAAGCAGTGTTTATAAATAGCATTCAAAACAGCCCCCTCCACTTTCTGGGTGAATGTGCACCGGCTTGTCAATGTCCTCATTGTGTGGGGCCCAGTGCTGGAAATAATTAAATCCTGTTCCTCTGGAAAAATTACAGCATAGTTGGTCTGACACATTTGATGATTTATTAACTCAATCTGCAAATGTAATGAGGATAATTCTGTGCCTGGGAGTTGGCGAATGGATGAGATGGTATGGTGCCGCCTCTGTCCTCGACGAGCTTATAATCCAATGGGTGAGATACATATGGAAATAGCTAAATATGGTCCTGGGCAGACGTAAATGAGCACCAGTACCTGCTCAACAGCTGGAAACATCCATTTCTTATCTCCTGGAGGGTAAAGTTTGTCCACGTGTTTCATCCTTAGTGAGACAGTCTGGCACAGGTTCTGGAAATCTGAACTTTGAAGTCAGCCTGGTCTAGTATGAATCCCAGCCCAGCCCTTGCCTATTGGATGTCCTTGGCTATGTGAGCTCAATGAACTTACATAAAGCTTTATTTTTTCTCACCTTTAATAAAAGGATGATAGTAACTATCTTAAGGTGGGATGAAGGTGTAAATGACAGATAAAACACACATATTGCCATATCTGCCACAGAGTAAGTTAGAATTCATATTATTCCACCAAATACCCACCATACAGCTCCCAGTAAGTAGGCACCACTAGTAAACATTTGAAGAATAAAACATGCCGGAATAAAATAATGAGTTAGTTATTCAACCAGTGAGACTATTGTGTGGGAATAAAGGTGGAAGAGTGATTATTACTATCATTATTATTAGTAGTAGTACTAGTAGTACTGGGGATGGAACCCAGGGCCTTGTGCATGCTAGGCAAGTACAACTAAGCTGCACCCCCAATCCCAGAGTAATTATTCTTTTTTTAATATTCATTTTTTAGGTGTAGATGGACACAACACAATGCCTTTATTTTTATGTGGTGCTGAGGATGGAACCTGGGTCCTGCCTGTGCTAGGCGAGCGCTCTACCACTGAGCCACAATCCCAGCCCCAGTAATTATTCTTAATCAGAGAAATAGAGGTTTCTTAGAGGATGTGGCATTGGAGAGAGCCCTAGAAGCCCCACCTGTGTGGCCTGTGTGGCCCAGGGTAGATATGCACAAAATGAAGTTGGAACCTTGAAACAATCCTGGGACTGTGGAGTATTTCTGCAGGAAAAATAAGAGGGATGGAGGTGGTATTGGTTTTCAAAAGTGCCATTCTGGCCACATATCAAGAAATGGTGCAGGAGAGTAAAGAAGGTGGGGAACAATTTGCGGCCACCCCACTGGAGATGATGGAGTCTGAACCTGAGAAAGGCAGTGGGAACGAGGAGGAGCCAACAGAAGAAGAATGGAATACAGGGGCTAGAGGGCGAGGAGTCAATGAAGATTCTGAGGGTGATCACCTGAGTGTTTGGCATAGCCTTTATGATAAGAGATGGTTATTAAACTATGGAGAGAAAATGATGCATAAACAAAACAATTGCTCAATTATTTCTCCCGAATCATATTATCCTAGATTATCATGGTGGATGAGACCAGTCCCTCAAACATTCACCATCTGCTGCATCAATTCTGCTCAACTGTGTCCTAATTCCAAAGCATCTCATATTCTTAGAAAGGTCGACCTCGCACTGAGTTAAAATTTGCCTCCCATCATTTGCAACCTTTGGCTTCTGCAAGCGTAGATCAAGTTTGCACCCTCTTCTGCAGATGATTTTTTTGGACCCAGTCACTCAGCTAGATAACCAAGACTTCATTTTTTTCTAAAGTGTCCATAAAAATAACATGAAGCTCCTTATTGGATAATTTACCACTCTCTGCTTTTTATCATTGTTTTAGAGCTTGCTTATGTTAGTGGTCACAAACTGGGCACTAATGACCACCCATTTTTTTGTATAAATGCTTAGGAACTATTTATTCATCTATGGCAGGAATTTTTTCCCAAGGTCACCAAGTTGACTGCCCAAGTTCAATTATAATAGAATTACAAGGGAAAACCTTGGTGAATCTCACAGAGCGAAGATCACTCTTAAGAAGAGCTTTTGTGTTCTTGATCACACCAAGGCGTTTGCATCTGCCTGTCCTTCTACGACTTGCTGTATGTATGGCTGGTTCAGTTTGATCCAAACTCATGTTTGGATCAAATATCTCCACTCTGGCGAATAATCCCCATATTGCCTGAACTAGACTCAACCCATCCCCATTCACTCTCTCACTCTATTGGATTGTGTAGCCCTTTAAAACCATCTGAAATTACTTCGTTCATTTGTCTATTGTAAATAGAAGCTCCCCAAGAGCAGGGATATCACCCTGTTCCATGTCAGAGTACCAGCTCCAAGCACACCTCTTGGCACAGAGCCCGTGCTGAGCAAGGATCACCAGCTTAGAATTCTAACAGCACAGCCTCCAATCCTTCCTGCTTTCAAAAATCAGGATGATGTTGTGGCTCTCTCCCAAGATTCCTGTCATATCCACTTTGCCAAGCAATTTTTCCTAGTTGGTCGGAATCAGGTCCAGAACAGAAGTTCACCAAGTCTCCTCTGCTTCTGGCTGAAAGATAAAATTATCAGCCAAGTTGAGCAAGGCTAAATGGATCAGATGCCATGTGTGTGGCTGAATGAAGCTCCCAGCGGTGATGGCTCCACACGGGTCCTCAACAGGAGAGACCACGTTCCCCCAGATGTCTCCGATCATCTTACATGCTCCTGGGTTTCCAGAAAGACCTGGATCTGCTTTAACATTGTCCAGGCAAATTCACAATGACCAAATGACCTCCTTCCCCTTCCTGATTCTAGTTCTTGATTTCTGGATTGAGTGACGGACAGTAGACCAGACAGCGATGGCAGTTTTAACCATGGAGTTATAATTGGGTATATATCTTTGGTTGTATGGGTCAGAAACCACTCAAACTGTACAAAATAAGAAGAGACATAATTGAAATTCAGTTGGGAGTTCATGGAACCCAGCGGCAATAGGTGGGCAACTCCTGCCTTCCTCTGAGGCCACACAACCCTACCTCTCCTATTTCTGCATAGCTGAGTCATACTCCCTTAATGACTGGTTTCCATCCTTAACCATGGTTTCTCCGCCTCCCAGAACTTCTGACTCACATGCTATGACTTTCCCTTCACTTTGCTGCAAACTTCATCTCCAGTCTATACAAACTTTCAGCGCAAGCACCAATGACTGACTATAGTCTTTAGCCAACTCATTCAATTACTCAATAGAAAAAAAAATCTAGAAGTCCAGTAGCCAGTAAATGAATGGTCTTATTATCTCAGATACTGATATTTGGTTTCATCAGATGTAGGTGGAAAAGATATCACATGGTCCCCAGGGATGCTGGTGAAAATGTGGGTTTTTTTTTCTGAGCTGGAGTATAGGAAAAGGAGATGTCACAAACGTTTTAATATTCATAGCATGATTCTCTGGCTAAGGTGACTGTTTTTTGCTTGATCCGACTTTGTAGATTAAAGCCCAGATCAAATCTTTGCACGATCCTAGAGATGAACCTCTCTTCCCAAGAAGGATGTGAGCCCCATTTCTACAACAGCTCCAGCTCCCATTATGCTGAATCTCCTCTGCTTTTGCCATTAGCCAAGTATAACGTCACACCTGGTTGCTGACACCTACTGCATTGGATGCAGATGGTCTCAACCATGAGTGGTGCCACCACAAGAAGTACTTAGAGATGTGATAGGAATAGTGTTTGGGTCATCCCAATGACTGGAGACAGCTGCTGGCCTTTAGTGGGCAGGGACCAAGGATCCTTAACTTCCTGTAGTGTGCAAGAGAGTCCCTTTCGACAAAGATCTGCCTTGTCTAATATCAGCAGCATCTACATTGAGAACCACAAGGAGATTGACAAATCACCCATGTTTGTATTCAGTATCTTTATTGCAAACTATTCTGCTAGTCTGGGAACACAAAAGTGAATATAGACTACATAGTCCTTGCTGTAGGCTATCATGGCCTAAAGCAGAAGAGAATCATGTAAACAAATAATACCAAATAAGGAAATGAAGGAAATCATTCATTCTAAATTTTTTTTTAAAAGCAGATACATAGGAAAGGTAGCAATCATAGTATACTAATAATTCAGCAGTAAGTGATACATAATCAGAATACAAATTCTTAATACCAATTTAACAAAAAACTATAACTATCTGGGGAGTATGAAGGGAATGAGGAGTGATCTTTTTATAAGAAATTCAATCCTCATCCCCTGTAAAAGGAAGTCAATAGATAACTCCAAGGAATTGCAGCATAACTGTACATGCATATTATTTAGGAAGCTGATATTAAATTTCAAAAGATATAACCAGAACAGGATTGGCTCTCTATGGGAGATAGATGATAGGGCAGAGGCTGGCAGGTTTGGGGCAATAAGCTGTGTTAATCAGCTTTTCGTTGCTGTGACCAAAATACCCAACAAAAATGGTTTAAAGGAGGATAAATTTACCTTGGCTCATGGTTTTAGAGGTATCGGTTCCTGGTTGGCTGGATCCACCACTATGGGCCTGAGGGTGTGGTGGAACAGAGTCGTTCATTTCGTGGCAGCCTGGGAGAAGAAAAGAGAGAGCAAGGAAGAGACTGGGGGTAAGAAAAGCCCTTCCAGGGCACATGCCCCATGACCCACTTCTTCCAGCAAGGTCCCACCTCCTGCAGTGTCCACCAACTCCCAACCATGCCATCAAACTATGAATCTCACAATGGATCAGTCCACTGGTGAGGTCAGAGCCCTTATGATCCAATCACTTCCCCCAAATCCCAACATCTGAACACTGCTGCCCCGGGGACCAAGCCTTCAATACATGAGTCTTTGAGGGACACTTCATATCCGCACCATCACACAAACCTTGTAATATTATTTAAATCTATTATCTATGCACATGCATTCTCCTTCAATATGAAATTCAATTTAAAAATTAAAATAGGATGATGAAGGCTGTCTTGGAGGAATGTGCAAGAATATGCATTTATTCTTAATGACATAATGTCTCTAATTAGTAAAACTGTGAAAAGGTTTTACTAGGCTAAGTGCGGAGGCCTGTGAAAATACATCAGCAATCCCCAACATAGAGATGAGCATGTTCCAAAAGCTTATTTCTATTTTTTTTTAACACCTCTGTTGGAAAATGCCCGGATTAGTCCACCTGGGGCAGAAAGCAGAACTTCCAAGAATCCCAGCATTGGCTGCCACTCAGGGTGTAGAGGAAATACAATTTGTATCAAAAAGGGGAATTGGGAGCTTGGGAGACCTCCAGGAGAGAGGAGTGAGAAGAGAGAAAGGAGGAGAAACATCCCAAGAGTCAACACACAAGGACATAAGTGCCAGAGAGGCCCCTGCTGACTCAGGTATTTTCTGCTGCAACTGGTGATTCATCTGCCTCCTACTTCAACCTGCAAGCTCCTGGTAAGCAGGGCCCACCCCTCAGTCACTTCTGACTCCCTTGCATCTACCAGGGGACCCTGCCCATGCTTTCTCCTTAGCAGAGGAGTTTATTCTGGGTTTATTCTACCAGGTGCTGTTCTATACACTTTCCATGTGTGAACACAGTTCTAACAGATACTGACTGGGTGAGGTGTGTGTTATTATCTCCATTTGACTCAGGAAGAGACTAAAGCAAAACTAAAGCAAAAAAAAACTTAGACTCAGGAACTCCAACTGGATCACATTGAACCCATCTGAAATCCTAGCTCTTGGTCCAATGCTGCTTCCATTCTTGAGGAACATTTTCTTCATTTGAACCCCTACACCAACATAGTTCCTTTTCTTCTAATTCTAAAAATGACAGTGGAAAGGAAAAGAAAAAAATGATATTTATCGAGCTTTTCTGCCAAATATTTGGCATATGTTATCTAATTAAAACCTCATGATAATCAAACATTGGAAGCAAACGTTATATACCTCTATCTCACTGGTGAGGAAGTTGAAGATTAGAAAAATGGATGTATTTTCACCAGATCCTATAGCTGATTAGTTGAAGAAACAGAATTTGAGATCAGGTCTGTCTTTTCACCTCCTGGCAGGAAACTTTATGATGTCCCTTCCCTGACACAACACAAAGAAATAGAAGTGATGATATGTGGCTTTAGAAACTATAGGTCATTAAAAAAAAAACTGTGAATTTCTCTCTCTCTATCTATCTCTATCTTGCTCTCACTCTCTCTCTCTCTCTGTTAGTTCACTCAGGGAGAAACCAGTGGCCACACCGTGAGGACAAGACGGTAAGGAGCTGGGATCTCTTGTCAACATCCATATGAGCCCTCTTGGATGTGGCTTCTCCAACCCCAGTCAATCCTTCTGATGACTTCAGCCCCAGCTGACAACTTAAACATGACTGAAAACTCTAAAAACCGAGCCAGAACCACCCAGAGAAGCGCCTCTCAGAAGCCATGCAAGATAATAAATGTTCTAAGTAGTTAAGTTTTGGAGCTACTTGTTCTACAGAATTACGCAGCAAATAACATCTCGTTTTCCTTTCTGAGGAGGGGTCTGGGAAGCAGATGTTTCATCCGTGTGGCTTCCTTGCCTGCCTCCCTGTTCTTCCTGAGTCCAGGGCTGAACTCAGTGGTCATCAAGCTAGGGTGACTTCTTGCTGAAAGTCAGCCCACAGCCAGAGCCGGACAGCCAACACAAGAGAGAGAAACCAGTCTCTACCTTTGTACCTCGGACCTCCACTGGGGGAAGGAGTTTGGTGACCTGTAGAAAGACGTCATGTTCATCCTGAACATTTGTGACTTTTCCACTTCAAAGAAATCACAGAGAACGAATCAGTTTGGTTGTATTTGGGGGGAAAATTCAGGAAGTCAAAATTTTAAGGGAAATAAATCCATTTAGTTAGGGTTACTGACTGTGGCCAGGAGCGTGGTTCCAAATCCACCACATTCCTGTTTTGTAGCAATTCACACAGCCCCAGGGGCTGAAGAATGGGGCTTCTGTGTGTCAACAACAATCTATGAGGGCTTTTTGTCTCTGAAACACAAGTCCTGTGAAATCAGGAGCCTGGGCTGGATGGTGAGCTGGGCAGAAAAGGGAGCGGGTAGTTCACGTCACTCAGTGACCTTAGAATTGTTGAGATGATTAAATGAGAAAGTACACATAAGCACTAAGGAGAATGAGTGGAAAAGCAAATGTATACACACATGCAAACATAAGATGCCTAACAGAAGGGACAATTCCCCCTCGTCACCCCTGCCTCCCAGAGTTCAGAAACTTAATACCGTGTTAGAGACAGAGGTCCTCAAAGTCCCCAAAGTCACCTATGCAGATACTTGGAACTTGAGTGTAAAATGAAGGGACTCTTCTGTTCTGGGTCCCATTCCCTCCTTCACTAAATGGACCTGAAATTCCTGCATCACAGGGATGCCATGATGATCTAATGGAACGAGGTAGGAAACATGACAGAAGTTTCAAACAAGTGACACTGTGCTTTTCCTCCCTAGAATGTTCCCCTGTGGATCAACAAGGCTTGGCTCCATTTAGACTTGGCCAACATGCTGTCAGGTCCCTCCCAGGCCCAGAGCTGATCAGAGGACACCAGATTCACAAGCAAAAGCAGGGCATGGGGATCACTCCACTCACCTTTTCCTGAGACCTAACCCCACCCAACCAGGACCTCTATGCAACCAGGTCCCCCATGATTTAGAAAAGTATGTCCTTAGAGTCAAACTCTGAATTGAAGTTGTGATTTTGTGATTTTTTTTTTTTTAATGAGGGATTTAACCCAGCAGCCCTCAAACACTGAGCCTCATCCCCAGCCCTGTTTAGTTTTTGTTTTGAGACAGGGTCTCACTAGGTTGCTTAGGGCCTCGCTAAAGTGCTGAGGCTGACTTTGAACTTGTGATCCTCCTGCCTCAGCCTCCCAAACTGCTGGGATTACAGGCGTGCGCCACCACGCTCAGCTGTTTCTTAACAGTCTCTTTGTGGAACGAGCACCAAATCTGGCATCAGAGCCTTCTGTTTCAACCTTTGTTCTGCCTCTAGCTGGCTGGGTGACCTCAGAGAGCCACCTAACCTCTCTGAGGCCTATAGTTTTTATCAGAATTTGATAAACTGGTATGTGTAACTGGGAAGGGCTGTGGCCAGGAATGGCATGATGCCTTCCGAACTGAGACAAGGGTTTTTCAAAGTAGAGCCTGTTGGGTGAATATTTTATCCTTGCTTGCTGAGAAGCCAGAGCACTGGCCTTTGTGGTGTCCCTGTGAGATGCTCCTGTGGCCTGACCCTGGCTCTGCAGTAAGATGGCCCAACCTTGCCAGCCTAAGCCTGGGCGTTCTCAATGCTTAGCCATACTGGCTTCCAATGGCCAGTATTTGGGGACCGCTTCCCTTTTTTACCTGTGACTTAGAGTCTCTGGATCTGGGTAGAGGGATCGCTTCAGTGTTTAAGATGTTTCTCTTGACTCTTGGGCAGTTCCCTGGGCAATCTCTGGACCTGTGGACCCCTGTCATTCTGCAGCTTGGACCAGGTGTCCGTGGCAAACATAACAGCACAGTGAGCATCTCCCAATTCCTGAAAATACATGGGTGCTAAGGGCTGGGATTCCTAAAGTTTAAAGTTGTTTTTCTTATACCTATGGTGCCCATTAGAGCTTATGGGTGCTAGAATCTGGTATTGAATTATGTCTCATACTCCCAGCTATTTTAAATTTCATCCATCAATATTTTATGCTGTTCCATAAATAGTACAATGCATGACAGGTATAATGTCAATTGTCTCTCCTGTCCATCTCTGCCTGCCCACAGCTCAGGAGGCAGACGAGCTAGAAAATGAAGACGCTGACTTACAAGGTTCCTTTTTCAAAGGAGGAAACATAATAATTGCCACGTCCATGTTCCTTTCTAAGGCCACTCTGCCACCTGTGCCATGGAACCTACCCCTTCCCTCTCCCTCAAGGACTTCGCCCTGAGCGGTCCTTTATTTCAGGTCTTTGTTACGGAGAGAAACTCTTCAGTATCCACCCAGTATCTTCAGTATCCCTCCTCCCCTTTCGTACTTGAAGTTGCTGTCATCAACAGTTTTAGGTCCCGCGATTCCTCTGCAAGAGTACTTCAAGGACTCCTGTGACCTCCACGCTGCACAATCCAACAGCCAGTTCTCAATTTCCCTCCTTCTCAAACTCGCAGCTCGATTCACTCCCTGTTCCTTGGAAGACTGTCGACTCTTGGCTCCCGGGATGCCACGCTCTCAGGGGGCCTCTTCCCGCCTCACCTGGCGCTCATTGGTGGCCTTCCTGGGCTTCCCCTGGGGCTGCAGCTTGGTTCTTGGGCTGGTCGCCTCTTGTATCTCTTTTTGCTCCCTGGAGAATGGGGAAGATTCCACTCCACTCTGCACCTTTAATGTTCCCTGTGCTCTGGGACTGTCAAGTAATAGCCCCACTCCAGACCTTTCCCTAAAATCCAGGCTTTGGTCTACACCTGCCTTCTGGACATCTCCTCTTGGATGTCTATACGGCATTTTGGACTTAACAAAACTCCTGGTTTCCTTGTTCTAAGCCCCACCACCACGACGCACATGTTTGCTCATTTTGAAAATGGTGACTTCGTTCTTCCAAGATTCCAAACTTGGAATCACACTAGGCTCTCCGTTTCTCACCTCCATTCCTTCAGCAGATCCAGTAAACTTTACTTTTAAAATGCTTTTGGCATCTGACCATCCCTACATCCATCACTACGTCCCCCCTGTTCACCTCCAGCCATGGATTCCAGCCGTGAGGTATCTGCCTCAGCTCTCTGAGTCCCCTCTGCTCCTTTAGCTCTGTCCTCTGTCCTCCCCACTCCTAAGAACCAGAGACATCCTGTGAAAATATGCTCTATCTTATCCCTCCTGCCTCCAATATATTCTGCATGATTTACTCCATCAAGTGCCCTGTTCAAATGCTATGCCATCAGAGAGTCCTTCCCTAACCACTCTGGGTAAAAAAATGGTTAATCTCCCTCAACTCACTGCACTTCCTGTCCTAACGGGACTTCAACTTTCTTCCGATATATTTATTTACCTTGTATCTATGTATATGTGTATATGTTGTCTCCTTGTGAGCACTAACACTCTGCTTTTTTTACATTTTACTATTATTACACTTAAATCATCCCTAACACCTAGCACAGTGTCTAACTGAGAGTAGATCAATAAATGCTCGTTCAAATGACCTCACAGAAGAGTCAGATTAGAAGTATGATCACAGAGCAGCATGTGATTATCTGACTGAAGATGATCAGAGCAGCTTTCTTGGAAAAGAGATATGACATTGAGTTTTTGTGGCATAAGTTTAAAAACTACTGTCCATGAACAAAGTAGGAGTTATGTCCGCTGAATTTTGAATTTCATTCTTACTCAAATATCACCATTCACAGGCATTCCTTTCTCTGGTAAAGGGATCCAGGGTGGCTGACGTCCAAACTCGGTTCACATAAGGAAATCCTGCCTGTGGGTCTCTTTCTCAGTGCCAAGTAGAAATGGAGGACTATCTCTTAGAAGCATTAGCTGTCACGAGCTTTGGTTTGAAGGCAGAGAAGTGAGGAGATGGCTTCTGGACACTACGTAGGCATTTCCACATTCAGTAAAGTAGCATTTGCAACTTCTCAAAGCAAGTCTTCCTTTGTTCATGTCATCAATTTTTCAAAAAATTTATGGTCCCTCTGGAAATCAAGTTGTTTTATGCAAAAGAGTTGAGAGCTCACATTCTGAAGGGATCCTTCAAGAATCCTGTGAGTAATGAATTGATAACTCCAAAAAATATATCCACTTGGTAGATTCAGGCCTGAGGGTTGCTTTAAGGGTCTCAGATTAGTCTGTGGTTGCATTAAGGTATTAACAAATTAGAGTTAAGTTACACATTCGATGCTGATCTTTTATATGCTTTTTACTAAAGTAAACTTTACATAACCTAAAATTCATAATTTTAATCAATTTAAAGTGTACAATTTAGTGTGGTTTCCAGTGCATTATGATTTTGTGCAAGCCTCTAATTAGATCTCATGACCATCTAACTCCAGAACAGAAAAAGAAATATATGTTTTAATGTATTTGTTATGTTGTTGTCACTGTGACCAAAATACCTGACAATAACAACTTGGAAAAGGACAATTTTGAGTTCACAGTTTCAGAGGTTCAGTCCATGATAAGCCAACTGGATTACTCGGGGCCCAAGTTGAGGTGAGGTGGACCATCATGACCATTCCTGGTATCCAGGAAGCTGAGAGAGTGGGAGGAGCCAGAAACAGATGTTTTCAAGGTTCACCAATGTTGTGACATGTATCAGAACTCATTCCTTTTTATGACTGAATAGTATTCCATTGTATGAATATGCCCCTTTTTTGTTTATTTACCCATTCATCGGTTGATGGACATTTGAATTGTGTCCACTTCTTTTTCTACTTGCATAATGGTGTTATGGCCATTTTAATTCATGTCTTTATTTGAAC